AACCCGCCACCTTAGGTGTACGTGGCTGGCGCCTTAGCCGGTTGAGCTATAGGCGCCGAGCCCTGTCCCCACTTTCCTTCAGCTGCTTCAGAACCTGCCTTTTGGATTATTGGGGTGAAGACTTGGGGTGTGGAGGGGGCAATGCCATGGATTTGGGGCTGCTGGTGATCTGGGGGGACAATGGTTGTTCAGCTGCCTAGGTTCACAGCCTCCTATGTGGTCTGTAGCATCACAAGAGAAACCTCTTTAGAGGGCCCTGTTGAGCTCTGATCCCGTTCTTCTATTTTACTGGGGGCATCAGGGTGTGGCAGGCAGGAAGGATGGGGTGAGGGCAAAGGAGGTTTTTTCCTTGTTCCTTCCGGGACCCTGGGGGGTGGCAGGTACCCCTCAGTGGCTCACCCCTCCCACTTCCCCAACCCTTTCCCCTCCCTCTTTCTCTCAGCTCCTCTCCTCCCAGGGCAGCCCTTGAACTTCTTAGAGCAGAGATGTCTCTGGGTCACCCTGCTGACTTCTAGACACTTCAGCGTTCCGCCACCAGGGGTCCTGCTGGGGGTCCATCTAGGCCCCAGGCTGAAACACCTTCTGCTGTTTGTAGTTCTTACCTAAATCCTTCCTGGCATTTCTCCTAACCGTACTGTTGGGCATTATCCCTGGGTCAGTGCAGCCCCCAGTGGTGAGCAAAGACTCCCAGTATACAACCCATGAGGCACCTCCCTCATGGCTACCGTGTCCCAGCTATGGCACCCCTGGGAACGTGGTTCGGCCATTTCCTTTCCTACTCCGCGCTCCACTCAGTGCCACAAGGGGCATTGCAGATGCGTGCGGGTGCCCCAGCTTGCGTGTCTAAACTCCACCTTTACCCCCTCCACTTTTCAAAACTCTTGGGTATGGGGTAAAACAATGCTCTGAATTCTGGGGTTCCAGGTACCTGGTACGTGGTCCATATAGGAGCACGCTTTGGGATCTCAGGGCCCCTTGGTCAGGAGCCTGGCGAGGGGTTGGGGGCCTGAGTGGACTGACCTGCCCCCTTCTCAGTCCTTGAAGACCCTTGTCTGCTGGGGAGACACTGACAGCACCGTTGTCCGTCCGGTGCTGAGGGTGTTGGACCAGGTAAAATGGAGAGGGAGAGCAGCATTATTCTGGAGCTAAGACCACATGCAAGGTTGAGGGGAACGGGCGGCCATGGCTGGCGACCGCTGCTGGGGTTAGGACGGGTGAGGCCCGACCTGAGCGGTGGTAGGGGTCTGCGGAGGAAGTTGCCGGGTGTTGGCCCGCCCCTGGCCTGCGCCATCTGTTTGGTGGGGGTGGGGCCAGTGCAGCCAGCTGTAGCCGCCTGGCCCCGCCCCCTTCCCGCCTCTGCACTGTGACCCACGGTGACCCTCCTGGCGCTTCCCTTTTCCCCACTCAGCCTATAGGTCACTTGGGCCTAGTGGCAGTACCTGATTCTTCCAGGCTGCAGGTGGCCTGGAGGCATGGTGGGCTCTTCACATGTCTCTGCTCACAGTGGGGCCCCAAGAGTCAGTTTAGGGTTGAGCAGGGGAAATCTCTGAGGGTGCCTCCCTACCGTCTTTTCCACTCCAGGAGGGTATTTGGAAAGGGAGGAGGTTGGGTGGGCTCATGAACACCTGGGAAGCTCTTGACTGTGCCACAGGAGGAGTGGGCAGAAGTAGACTGTGTTCAGGGACAGTGTGACCTGTTTCCATATGGAGCACCTACTCCAAAAACCACACTTGCGTTCTGAGTGTGCATGTGGTTGGAAAATAAACTGGGAGACCCTTTCTGACCCCCCTGCTGGGGTCCCTTTGGGAGTGGGCTCTCAGCAGTTCAGCTTTAGGTATCAGTTGGTTTGTGGACAGTCACTCTGGGTCTAGTGCTATGGTGTCATAGCTCACAGCAACCTTAAACTCTTGGGCTCAAGTGATCCTCTTGCCTCAGCCTCCTGAGTAGTTGGGACTACAGGCGCCTGCCACAATGCTTGGCTATTTTTTTTTTTTTTTAAGAGATAGAATCTCTTGCTCAGGCTGTTCTCAAATTCTTGAGCTCAAGCAATCTGCCTTCTTCAGCTTACCAGAGTGCTGGGATTACAGGCGTGAGATACCACATTTGGCTAGTCACCTGTCAGTAGGGTTTTTTTTTTTTTTTTTTTTTTTTTTTCAGTTTTTGGCTGGGGCCAGGTTTGAACACACCACCTCCAGTATGGAGCCGGCATCCTACTCCTTAGAGTCAAAGGCGCCGCCCACCTGTCAGTAGGTTTTAACAGCAAACAAACTATTGGCAGGAATGTCCCTGGTAAATGTTGGTAGGAAATAAAGGAGAATTATACAGTAAGAGCTCATGTTGAGTTTATTGGAGGGCTAGTGGGGATTGTATGTGTTTTAAACTCACAATCAGAATTTAGCCTCTAAGATGCGGGTATTTTTTAGGATTGGTTGGGATGTCTCTGCTTCCTCCTTACCACTGACCCTTGCCTGTCCTCTGTTCCTCTGTCCAGGTGAACGTCCTTTTGCCTGTGATTGGCCAGGCTGTGACAAGAAGTTTGCGAGATCTGATGAGCTGGCCCGCCACCACAGGACACACACAGGCGAGAAGCGCTTCCCCTGTCCTCTGTGCCCCAAGCGTTTCACCCGAAGTGACCATCTAACCAAGCATGCCCGCCGCCATCCGGGTTTCTGCCCAGATCTGCTCCGGCGTCCAGGTGCCCGAAGCACTTCCCCCAGCGACTCGCTGCCCTGCAGCCTGGCTGGCAGCCCTGCACCCAGCCCTGTGCCGAGCCCAGCCCCTGCAGGCCTGTAGGGCCCCCGTCCAGCCTGCCCTGAGCACACCCCAGCCAGGCCTTGGCATGGACCACCAGCAACTCCAGGATACTCCTGCCAGATGGGGTCCATGGCAGGGGCCAGTGGAGTGCCCTGATCTCTCCTAGCTGTTTGTGGACCCTGAAGATGCCCCTGTCCACCTCAAGAAAGCAAAGAGGGAGTCTAAGAGTGGACCTGGGTCAGCCAGCCTTAGGGGTGGCCCTCAGGATGGATGACTGGGGCTTGTGTTTGTAAATAGCCATGATTACTAACTTCCTTTCCCTTCTGCAGTGGGGTTCCCTGGGGGTGTAGCCAGAAGGCCCTTCCCTTCTCCACCTCCCTGCTTTCCCCCAGGGGCGGTGTTTAGGGGCTGAAGTGGGCACAGAGAAGGTGCCCCCTGCCCAAAGCATGGACTATGCCCCTAGGCCCATTCCCTGCAGGTTGGGATGAAGTGTGCAAAGAGCCATAGAACCAGGGGTTCATGTGGGCCCCACCTTTCCCCATACCCCACTGAAAGCCATTGGTGAAGTTCAGGGAAATGGGGGTACAGCCTGGCTAACCCCCACTCGGGTTCTCAATCTCAGGTGTCCACAGGGTTTGCCCTTGGGAAGGGGTCCCCCCAGCACACCAGGCCTCAAGGTATGGCCAGGAATGGGGAGGCATTGGGGTGTCCAGAGAGGGGTCCAGGTCTTGTGAGACTTGGGGGAGGGAAGAAGGTGGAATAGGGTTCTTCCAAAGAGATTTTGACTCTGGGTTAGGGGTGGCGGCTCCTGAGCCAGTGCTATCTGGCTTATTTATTTTCTTGTCTATGTTGGCATGGTGGGGCCGGGGCTTTCTCCCTCTCTCTGGGTGGGTGGGTGTATGAGAAGAGATTTCAGCAGAGGCTGGGGTCATGGGCCCACCTCCCTGCCCCTGCCTGGGTAGGGTCCCAGACTCTGCTAGCCTTTGCAGAATCTCTTGACAATCAATTTCTCCTGTTAGGGTGCCCCATGCTCCCTTCCCCAGCCTGCAGGTGAGGCTGTAGAGCCAGGGCCAATACAGTTTGCAGCTATCCCTAGGCCCCCAGGCTTTTCCTTTCCTCTCCTCCCCTCCCCCTTTCCTTCCCTCTTACTCCTGGCTGCCTGTTGGAGGTGGTCCCTGGGTCCAGCAGTTGAGGCCCTGCCCAGAGGGTTAGCTATTTAGCCCCTTGGGATAGTTCGTTTTTTTGGACCGGGTAGAATATTTTTTCAGGCACCAATTCCTTCTGGGCCCCTCTGGGTGGTCCCTCATCCTCAGGGGGTGTGAGTGTGTGTGTGTGGGATCTCTAATCTGAACCTGAGGGGGGGGGTTTCTCTTGAGGGTGACATGCCATGTCTTCTCTAGGTGTCTTCATATCATGGCTTGGTTGAGATTTCCTTTTAGATGTGGTTCTGAAGACCCCCATTCTCCAGTGGGAAGGGTGGGACCCAGGCTCCTGGGAAGGGCCTATCTCCCCAACTTCTAGCTGCAGGTGGATTTTGCCTCCCTGCCCTTTTCCAGAATCCTCCTGTCTCCCTATTGGGGGCTTGGGTGTTCAGTGGCATTGTTAAGCACCTGGACTCAGCCTGTATGTGGCAGGACCCAGGGGTGGGAGCCTGGGGAGGGAAGCAGGGCTTGCCCTTCTGGAGCTGGGCTCGGAGGGTCTGCCCAGGTCAGCCTTAGGCCCTCTACCTCCCAGGGTGTCCTTGCAGGGCCACTCTGTCTGTGCCCTCGGATTCCTCTCTGGTAGTGTTAGTGAAATGCCTTAGTCTACAGCGGGGTGGGGGGCTGGGCCCCATTTTCTTTGTCTTCCTCTGGATGTCTCTTGGTCAGTTCTAGCCCTGGCAGTTATCTGCCTAATGGTGGGTAAGGGCTACAGGTTCCAGAAGTCCTCTGCATCCCTCCTCCCCTCAGGAGTAGGTGGTTCTTGGGGCCTTTTTCCAGCCATTTGGCTATGGTTGGGAAGGCCAGGCAAGGGAGGAGGGCCTCAAGGGACTTGTGCTTTCTGTGGGTGGCATCCCTCCCCTGCCTTGCCTGGCCTCATCCTTGTATTTAATTAATTAAACAAGCCCTTTTTTAAGTCCTCTTCTATGTCTGTGTGGTTTTTTCCATTATGGGCCCCCTACCTATGGGCCCTCAGCCCCCCCCATCTACCAGTATGGCCCCCAAGGTCATCTAGCTTCTTTTAGGGAAACTGAGGCAGCAGGTTAGTGAATTCAGGGCTCCAGTAGGGCTCTTGGCCAGGTTACCATCAACCCTCTGGCATAGGGAGGGGGCTGCCTGCAGCAGGGTGCCCTGTGCCTGGCACACCTGTTCCCCCAGCCTAACTTCCCATGACTGCAGTTGTCCATTGCTGCCCCTTCCAGTGCCTCATGGACTGGGGGAGCCAGTGGGGATACCTGGCTTCTTATAGGGTCCTTTGGCCGCCCCCCACCCCCTATACTCCCTTAGTACTACCTGCTCAGTAGTCGGCACCTCATGTACTGAGCTCTGGTACATGCCAACTGCCACAGAGGGAATTGGAAAAGGGGGGATAATGCTGCTGGAGGGAAAATGGGCCTCTTGGGAGTTTAGTGCCCCCAGGGCATTGGGAAACTGGTGAGAGCTTTGAATCCTTGCTTAGGAAAAAGACACTCCAGATTCTACCAGTTCGGGAGCCTGAAGGGTAGGTGGGGCAGGTTGTGGGAGCTCCCGCTCATACCTGCCCTCTCCAGGGTCCCACCTCTGGGAAGACGGTGACATGCCTCCTGTGGTAGCGCTCACTCAAGTCCAGTGCCCTGGAGGCCTGGCCACTGCCAAAGGTGCCCCAGACCTGAGCAGCTGGATCTTGCCTTTATCTAGGACAGCCTTACAGCCTCTCTCGCACTTTGCTGAACTTGGCTATCCTGCAATGCTCCAGTCCCCCTCACCTCCCAACTCCCTGCCTCACCCATTTTTCCTGTCTGAGAAGATGGGCTCAGCACCTGTAGCTCAGTGGTTAGGGCGCCAGCCACGTGCACCAGGGCTGGTGGGTTAAAACCCAGCCCTAGCCAGGCATTGTGGTGGGCACCTATAGCCCCACCTACTATGGAGGCTGAGACTAGAGAATCTCTTGAGCCTGAAAATTTGAGAAAATCAGGAGATGATGTCCAACCCTTTTTGCAAGGCAAATCCCTCTGGTATTTCCACCTCTGTGGTTTTTGTTTTAAATTCCTTTTTCTCTCCTGGATTCTGTTCTCTCCATACTCACATTCTTGGTGTTTTATTATGTTTTGTGGGTTTTGTTTGTTTGTTTGTTTAACTTCGTATCTACCTCAGTTTGCCCCCATGTCCCTTACACACAAGCAAAATATTCCTTCAGCAGAGCAGATGACTGGCATGCTCCATGACCAGCCCAGAAGTCTCTGCCTTGCTAAGTGGCTTTATGTCCGTATAGTGGACAGAGAAGCCAAACGCACTTTCCATTTCAGTGCACCATAAGATGTCCTCTTTCTCATTCATGAAGACAGGGAAATGCTGGTCTTTGCCCTGCTTTATGGAGTTTGACCTAGTAGTAATGGTCCACACTTTGCTGAACTTGGCTATCCTGCCATGCTCCAGACAATCCTGCCGCTCCAGCTTATCATTCACAGTGGATGCCAATGGCCTGCCCGTTTATAACAGGAAGGTTACTCTCAAAGTAGCAGGCCCTCTGTGTAGCTGACACTTCTTTGGCATCAATCAAAACAGAGTTGGACTTGAGAAATTGTGAGATGTCCCTCTTGTCACTAATGCCCATGGCCACCACATTCTCAAAGAGCCAGAAGAATGGGTGATTATCTCCCTCCATGGGCCACGCATCATGCAGGAGGCAGCAGAACTCAAAGAAGAGTCAGCAGGTGCCCTCGTAGAGTCCCTTTTGGGCAGGGTTCACAATGGAGAGATGATTGTAGGGACTGCCCCCAATCATCAGATCGAATGGGCCCTACTCCTGGATATGCTTCTGTGTGATGCTGTAGACATCCCCGATGTACATCATCTTCCCCTGGTGCTGCACCATGCCCACTATGATGGAGTCCTCACACAGCTCCGAAGCAATGTAACGGTCCAACTGGATCCCCAAGTCCTTCAGCATCAAGAGCCCTGTAGCAATTCCATCAAAGAGGGCTACCTGTGGCTCAGTGAGTAGAGCACTGGTCCCATATACTGAGGGTGGTGGGTTCAAACCTTACCTCGGCCAAACTGCAACAAAAAATAGCTGGGCGTTGCGGTGGGTGCCTGTGGTCCTAGCTGCTCAGGAGGCTGAAGTGGGAGAATCGCCTAAGCCCAAGAGCTGGAGGTTGCTGCTGTGAGCTGTGAGGGCAACAAAATAAGATTGTCTCTCAAAAAAAAAAAAAAAAAGCAATTCCATCAAAGATAGCACCCAGATAGGCTTCCTCTTCTCAGCTGGGACAGGTGAGTAAACCTTCTGAGGGTCAAATTCCTGGTCATGGTTATTGGCGAAGAACATCTGGAGCCTAGAGGGCCAGTCATTCTGCTGCCAAAGCAGGAAGACGCCTGGAATTGCCACATGTGTGGGTACCCTTGTGCCCATACGTGTAGCAGTTCCAGGGGTCTTCCTTAATGGCTGCCTAGGCAGCCCTTGGCCCCACAAAGAGGTCCACACACTCCATGCAGAAGCACCTGCAGCAGTTGTTCCCGCACATGAACACCTCTAGCCCCCCAAAACAGATGGTACAGTAGGACTGGTAGCCATCGTCGTCATACTGGTAAGCACACTCCAGGAAGCAGTTCTTGCAGTTTTGGCACATTTCTCCAATAAACAGAAGATGTTCCAAAGTGACATTGAGGCTCCCACAAGAAATGCATGTCTTTGATGTTCTGGCACTTCTGCTGCACCTCATACACCAGCTGCTCTCTTGTGCACTCATCAATAATGACCTTGGGCTTCTCCATTGTGCTCTTACAGGGCTTTTTGGCTGGTGGAGGTGGTGCTTAGGCAGCTGTCTCAGGTTCAACCTACATGTCTGTGTAAACTTCTTTGTAGGGATTCTTTTCCTCTTCCAGTGGCTCCAGGCCCTTGGGACCAGAGGGCTGGAATCCTCCGAAGTCCCAGTCAATTATTTGCTTGTTCTGTACCTCCACAGCCTTGGCAGCGTCACTCTTCACTGTCATGACACATGGGAACAGTTTCCCTGAGTGGCTGCTGGACATCTGCAGGACTTCATAGATGGCTTTGCGGTACATGGGCTGCTTGTTGTAGGTGGCCTGGTGGAACGCACTGGAAAATGAGCTCAGTGGCATCAGCTTCTCCATGCATACCACTGAGAACTTGCTATCTCTGAACTACATGACCAGGTGGCTGCCTTCAGCTGCTCGGCTCCAACCTATCATCTACCAAGACACATTGTGACCTGGCTACCAGGAAAAGCCCCACGGTTTTCTCCCACACCAGCTCACCAATGCAAAGCCCTGGCCAACCTCGTACTCTGGTTCATCATCAGCTACTTTGGTGGTGCTCTTGTCCCCGGCATCAGGCCCCATGGGTTCAGGCACGGTGGCCACAGTGGGGGATGCAAGGTCAGTGGGCTGCTGCACAGTGGGCTAGCCTCTTCCATCTTCTGAGACCCCCTTCCAGCCCCCTGGTTCGCTTCCACAGCATTCATTACTGCAATTACCTTGGCTTTCTTCTCAGTCACTGCCCAGGCTTCCAGCCAGCTCTCCTCTTGTCCCTGGGAGCACCAGGTGCCACTTGAGCTAGTGAGGAGTGGGGCCTTGGGGCCCCTGAGTGCGAGTAGGTGGGCCAGCACTAAGTCATCATCTGCAGCACTCAGGCCAGGC